CAAAACATCGCACACTTTTCCGCGGCTGTTTTTCGCGGTGAAAATCGGCGAAATCCGGCTTTCGCTTTTCTTTGCGACGCTAAAAACAAGCATCTTACAAGCGGAAAAAGGGTTGTTGGATATGTGAACGAGGCGATGTTAGCGTTTGTGTAATAGAAACTAGGTTTATCAACAAATTGAACGACATTAAAATGGCGCCGAAAATTCCTGAGATTTTAAATTATTGTGTACTAATACAATAATCTCACGTTGATGTGATAATTAAAAAAAATATACTGAGTGTGTCATGCTCCTATAACATGTGATAGTAGGGGAAAGGTGCCTAAAATGATCCCCCTAAGGGAGAAATTCTTTAAAAAATACAAATTATTATTATTCATGTAAAACTGTAGCATTATTTGTAAGAACATTGATTTATCTAGGTAACAGTATAAGCCAATTGGTGATTCGATAATTATAAAAAAAGTTATTAACGTTTTTCCAGGACCTTACAAAAGGATCATTTTAGGCATCCCCATACGTAAAATGATCCCCCGGCATGGGGCTAATGATCCCTTTGAATTTTGACCATAAGGGGACAGCATCAACAAGAAAAATTAAATCATGACGTAACTGATAAATGTTTTATTTCAAAAATTAACAAAAAAATAAATTCTTAAAAAAAAAATAAACAAAAAAAGTTTGAAAAGCACCGAAAATACGGGGTGTATAATTTCTGGAAGAGTTTGAGACAATACTTTAGTCATCAGTACGTGCTAAGATAAGACTAATTTTGCCAAATGGGATACCCTCCAAGAAAAGAGAGGGCGGGTGGGCGGGCCTACTACCTGCTAAGATAAAACTGAATTTAGCAAATGATATACCCTCTAAGCAAAGAGAGGGTGGGTGGGTGGGGCTAATACTTGCTAATATAAAACTGATTTTGGCAAATGAGATACCCTTTAAGAAAAGTGACGGCGGGTGACTGGGATTAGTACCTCTTAAGACTGAGAATTTCCCAAAAATAGAACACGAAAATCCCTAAAATTCTTTTAAATTATTTAAATTTCCCCGTCTTAAGAGGTACTAGCTCCACCCACTCTCCCTCTCCTCTCTTAGAGGGTATTTCATTTGCGAAAATCAGTTTTATTTTAGCAGGTAGTAGATGGGTGGGGCTAGTAACTGCTAAGATAAAACTGGTATTGGCAAATGGTATTCCCTCGAAGATCGAAAAATTGAACTGAAAACTCAAAAAACCTCAAAGTTTAAAAATTGAAAAGTTAAAAATATCGAAATGTTGAAAAATTGAAAAATCTAAAGTTTAAAAAACGAAAAATTGAAAATCGAAAACGTAAAAAGTCGAAAAATCGAAAAGTTGAAATGCAAAAAAATCCCGAAACTGAAATATCGAAAAATTGAAAAATAGAAGAAAAATTAAAGAATCAAAAAACTGAAAAATCACAAAATTGAACGATATATCCAAATATTGGGAAATTCAAAAATTCAAAAATTGGGAATGGAAAAGTCAAAAATGCAAAGTCGAAAAATCGCAAACTTAAAAACCCGAAAAATTGAATAATCCAAAACTTGAATAACTGAAGAACTGAAAAATCGAAACTTTGGGAAGTCGAGAAATGGGAAAATCAAAAATTAGATTAATTGAGAAATTGGAAAACTGAAAATTGAGAAACGTCAAAATTTCAAAAATTAAAAAATATGGAAGAACTGAAAAATCTAAAAGTCTAAAATTTAAAACACTGGAAAATTAAAATATCCTAAAATTGAAAAATGAGGAATCGAATCATCAAAAATCAAAAAAATAAAAATTCGAAAATCTAAAATTTAAAAATCGAAAAACTGAAAAATCCAATAATTTAAAAATCGAAACATGGAAAACTTGAAAAACCGAAAAGCAAAAAATCGAAAAGCGACAAATCGAAAAATTAAAAGATCGAGAAATCGAGGGGTCCAAAAGTCAAGAAGTCGAAAAATTGAAAAATTGAGAAGTTGGAAAATCGAAAAGTTAAAGAATCAAATTACTGAAAAATCCCAAAACTGAAAGAAATATCAAAAAATGGAGAAATTAATAAATTGGAAAATTGAGAAATCGAAAAACCAAAAAAGCAAAGTCTAAAAAATCGGAGAATTGAAGACCTGAAAAATCGGAAGTTCGAGAAGTTGAGAAATAGAAAAATCAAAAATAATTAATTGGGAAATCGGAAGATGGAAAACTTAGCAACGTCAAAATTTGAAAAATCTCGCAGAATTGAAAAATCGAGAAATCCAAACATTAAAAAATCAAAATAAAAATTCTAAAATCTGAAATTAAAAAATCGAAGAACTGAAAAATCGACAATTCGAATCCAGAATTTAAAAATTGAAAAATCGTATAACTGAAAAATTGAAAAGCTCAAAACTAAAAAATCGAAAAACCGAGAAATCCGAAAATCGAAACATTGAAAAATTCAAAAAGTGAGACATCGAGAAATCGAAAAATCGGAGAGAAAAATTGAAAAATTGATAAATCGACAAATCAAAAAATTGTAAAATCGAAAAATTTTAAGAACGAAAAATTGGAAAAATCGAAAATTTAAAACTTCGGAAAATTGAAAAATTGAAATATCGAAAACTCGAAAAATTGAAAAATCTAAAGTTTAACGAAAAATTGAAGATCCAAAAAGTAAAAAATCCAGGTGTCCAAAAATCGAAAAGTCGAAAATCGAGATTTTAAAAAATCGAAAAATTGAAAAATCAGAAAACCTGAAAAATCGAAAAATTAAAGAATTAAAAAAAAATTTAGGAAGTCGAGAAACAGGTAAATAAAAAAAAAGATTAGTTCAGAAATCGGAAAAGCAAGTACTAGCCCCGTCCACCCGCCCTTTACTTTTTTAGAGGGTGTCATTTGACAAAATCAGTTTTATCTTAGCAAGTACTCACCCCGCCCACCCACCTTCTATTTTCTTAGAGAGTATGTATATCATTTGCCAAAATCACTCTTACCTTTGCAAGTACTAGCCCCGCCCACCCATCCTCTATTTTTTTAGAGGGTGTCATTTCTTAAAATCGGTCTTATCTTATTAAATACTTACTCGGTAAAAAGATCATAACTAACCTACGACTGAAATGTATCTAATTCTGTCAAAACAACTACCACCGCTATAAGACCTTTCAAATGGAAGTAACTTTTAAAATATATCTTACCTTAGATCAGAAGTGCTTATTTTACATATTTTGGCACAAAACTGTGCAGAAAACACAGAACGCCATCAAACTTTCAGGAGGTACTAATTACAGAGGGCTTAATCAAATGACAGTTATGTTTGGTAGATGGAGCCACAAATTTTCTTACAATTGATGGGGATCATTTGACCTGAGGGGATCATTTTAGGCACTTTTCCCCTACACTTTGGTGTGAAAAATTTGTGACGTTTAAAACTGTATATATATATATTTTTAATCTCCAAATTAGACACCCGGTATGATGAATATGATTAACAACTGTGTCTTTTCATTTTCTTCTAATAAATGAACAAAAATTGGAACAGTGGTCAAACTGAAAATCGTCAAAAACCGAGTAAGGTTTTGTCAAGTTGGACATTCTGATTCTAAATCTGCAATCAGTTGTTTTTTGGCACGTCACTTAATCAACGTGACAGACATGACTTAAGTAACTTTGTTTAAGTATATTATACACTTCACAACGATAATAATTTCCATGATTTGCAAATATTCGAATCAGTTGAAAGCGATAACAATTTATTTGTGTAAATACCTCATTTTATTGATTTCCTGATCATAAATATTTTGAAAAACTGTATGTGCTTGAAAAAATTTAAAAGTAATTATTAATTTGCAGTATTTTGTCAAAATTGTGCCATTTTGGTTGCACCCCCATGAAACGGAAAATCTTGACTATGGGTTTCAATGAATCCGGAATACGACTCCTGTTGTTGGTCTGGAACAAAAAATGGGAAAGTCAGTGTTCATTTTACCTTAGTTTGGACCCTTTGTGTGTTCAAAATAAATCATCCATGTCTTTGTTCTTGCACCTCTGGGTTTAGCAAAATATTCAATGAATGCGCCACCCCCGGCTTGTGGCGGCCGCGACCCCGTCCGTGCCCTTCACCGCCGCCATCAATGGGCCCATCCTAACTGTACCAGCACCCGCCGCCGCCCCAGGTCCATCACCCCCATGACATAAGCGTTCAAGGTCGGCGATCGAGGCCACAGCCCGCTACGATGAATCGGAACGCCGGCCGGCTACACCATCTCGAGTTAGGTTAGGCCAAAGCTCTCCGCCAATCAGCGCTCAGCGTACGCTTTATGCCCATATATGGTAACAACGTCGTGAATGAGCCTGGTGGGGCGGGCGAGTCCATTCCGAGGGGGGTCGTCGCCGTCTCCAACGACCGTATCAACAAACCCCCTTCAACTGTTTCGATTTTGACGTTTCGAGCCCCGAAGTCGCCCCTGTCTCGCCCTCTGCCGCCGCCCCATCGCCTCGCCGCGCCGCTTTCCCCCAGAGAAAATTCGAATTTCCACCCGGACTCACCCCGGCCGGAGCCACTTGTCGTGCGCCGGCTTCCTCGAAATCGCAACCGGCATTTGTTGCTCGAACGTTGTGCCTGTGTGACGTGTTCGCTACGGTAAGTGACATTTTCCCAATTTTTCTGCTTTTTGCGAGGGGATCGCGCCTCCACCTGCGGATTCGGCTATTTTTGCCCCCGCAGGTGGTTGTTTGGCTTTAAAAATAGCTGACGTTTGGAGCGCTGCCAACTTCGGCGCGGCACCTTAGCCACCGCCGGGATCCCACTGTCGGCACGCCGGGCCATTTATCACAATTTATCGTTTTGAGCGTTATTGTGGCGAATTGTGTCACGATGATGCCCCCGCGGGGGCAGGGGGGACCGGTGCAATGCTATTCCTTATATGGTAATGTTTGGCAGCGATTGGCTCGCGCCGCCACTGTAATCCTGCGCGTAGAACCTGGGAGGGGCTGCTGCGAGCTTCGTATATAGCCGGAGAAATTTTACTATTTCACACAGTTCGAGCTGGTTTGTGATATTGTGTGCAGGCGTCGACGGCGTTACTGTGCTTAGATTTATTTTATTAGAATTAAATAACCCCAATGTAAGTTGAAAGTAGTTTGTACTTTGTGGAATTACAGTGCGATCTCGGGGTGTGGCCGTGAAACGTGAACTTGGAAAACTTTCAATCGAAACCGGTTTCGACTTCAACCCTTTTCGTGCATTTATTCGTTAATTTTTTTGAATTTTTTGTCGAGTGGTTCGTTGGAAATTTTTGAATTTTTTTCATCCGGTTGGTAACGGTTCAGTAAACGTCAACCGCCAGGAGGTTACAACGAGTGCCTTTTTTTTGTCTCGAATTGAGTGAATTTAAACCGAATTGTCGACGCGAAGCGTAAGAAACCAATTTTTTTCGATTCGAACGCTTTTTCTGGCGGAGTCGTTGAAAGGGCAGAAAATGGGTGTGCCACCCCCACCACCTGCCGGCGGCGGTTAAAGTTCGTTCAAGTTTCAAACTGAAATACCAATTGAAGTTCGTAAGTTTTTCGTACTTAAAGCAATAAAAACCGACCGCGTTTTTACGTATCTAATATACAGTGTGTTTTTTGAAAAAACTGAGAATTGTGTAGTAGTTGAAATTTGAACATGATTAATTTAAATTTTCGTCATTAGAGCCTCCGCTGCGCTCCATTGTGTGTAAATTTCATAACAGTTCGTTCACACAGCCTCCCGGCATAAATATGCATCGCGCGTCGCCGCATTCATACCGGTTCCATCTCCGGCGTCCGCCCTAACGGAGTCCATTGTATGCCACCGGTTCATCCATTTCCATTCATTATCCGCATCAATCGAGCTCACCGTCTCTCTCTTTGCAGTACTACTAATCAACATGTGTGACGAAGAAGTAGCCGCTTTGGTCGTCGACAACGGCTCCGGCATGTGCAAGGCCGGTTTCGCCGGAGACGACGCCCCCCGCGCCGTGTTCCCATCCATCGTCGGCCGCCCCCGCCACCAGGGCGTCATGGTCGGCATGGGCCAGAAGGACTCGTACGTCGGCGACGAGGCCCAAAGCAAAAGAGGTATCCTCACCTTGAAATACCCCATCGAGCACGGCATCGTGACGAACTGGGACGACATGGAGAAGATCTGGCATCACACCTTCTACAACGAGCTGCGTGTCGCCCCCGAGGAACACCCCGTCCTCCTGACTGAAGCCCCCCTCAATCCCAAAGCTAACCGCGAGAAGATGACCCAAATCATGTTCGAGACGTTCAACACCCCCGCGATGTACGTCGCCATCCAAGCAGTATTGTCGCTGTACGCCTCCGGTCGTACCACCGGTATCGTCCTGGATTCCGGGGACGGCGTGTCGCACACCGTGCCCATCTACGAAGGGTACGCTCTCCCGCACGCCATCCTCCGTCTGGACTTGGCCGGTCGCGACTTGACCGACTACCTCATGAAGATCCTGACCGAGAGAGGCTACTCGTTCACGACCACCGCCGAGAGGGAAATCGTCCGCGACATCAAAGAGAAGCTCTGCTACGTGGCGTTGGACTTCGAGCAGGAGATGGCCACGGCGGCCAGCTCCAGCTCGCTGGAGAAGAGCTACGAGCTTCCCGACGGGCAGGTCATCACCATCGGAAACGAGAGGTTCCGTTGCCCGGAGGCGCTCTTCCAGCCGTCGTTCTTGGGTATGGAAGCGTGCGGCATCCACGAGACCACCTACAACTCGATCATGAAGTGCGACGTGGACATCCGTAAGGACCTGTACGCCAACACGGTGCTGTCGGGCGGTACCACGATGTACCCCGGCATCGCCGACCGCATGCAGAAGGAAATCACGGCTCTGGCGCCTTCCACGATGAAGATCAAGATCATCGCGCCCCCAGAAAGGAAGTACTCCGTCTGGATCGGAGGCTCCATCCTAGCTTCACTCTCTACATTCCAACAGATGTGGATCTCCAAACAAGAGTACGACGAATCTGGACCATCCATCGTCCACAGGAAATGCTTCTAATCATTCACATCTGCAACATTCCAATATTAGTCCAGTTCAGTTTCTTTGTATATTGTAAAGCGATAGAAGCCGTTCGGACGGCTAAGGAACTGCCATGTTTTGTATGTTAACAACCACTATGGTTTCGCGTAACATATGCACTAGGCCAAAGTATTACAATCTTTTTTTATAATTTATTCCCTGTGCAGATTGAAGACTATTATTATTATGATGTACGTTATTATTACTTTAGGCTAACACTTATGGGATAATAAAATAGTTAAAAATTTGTAAAATATCTTTGTCCTTTTATTTATAATTTATTCAGTTTTCTACAATAAAACGAAAATACCAACGCATGTTTCAATCGGAAGTCCCAGGTGATTAGACGACCGCAGACCGAACGGAAAAACCCGCCACCTAGCAACAAAGTTTCACGAATTCAGTTTCCATGGATACCACGCGACGTGCGGTTGTTTTTGACGTGGGGTCCTCCTCGACGAGGGTGGGTCTCTCGTCCGACCAAACCCCCACAATCTTCCCGACTCTTGTCACCAAGTCAGACGGCCAAGTCCGCGTAGGAGGTCCAGGTGAAACAATCCGGGTCCAAGACATGATGATTGCGAACTTCGACCACGTGACAAAAATTTGGGAACATGGGTTCGAGCTACTAAAAGTGGACCCGAAAGAGCACCCCGTGTTCCTAAACAAACCCAGCTATCCTTCCCCCACCGCCCAAACCGAGAAAATGGCGCAGATCATGTTTGAGGAGTTTGGTGTCCCAGCCTTGCATCTGAATTACCCGGCGGTGATGGCCCTGCATGGGCATGGGTCCGATTGTGGCTTGGTGGTGGATTCTGGGTTCAGCGAAACCCAGTTCTATCCCGTGTACCAAGGACACATTCTAAAGTGGCCCGTTACAAGAGGACTACAAGTAGCCGGGGATTACCTAACCTCTTTATTGTTGGACGTTTTACAAAAAAAGGGGGCCTGCACGTACACGACCGCGGAACAAATTAAAGAAAAGTCCTTCTACGTGTCTGGTGATCCAGAAAATGAAAAACCGACTCCCGAAACTTGTGTTCTGGAAGATGCCAACGTTACTCTACTGGAAGAAAAATTTAAAATACCGGAGGAACTGTACACGTCTAGACTTGAGTACTGCGGTATTCACGAGTATGTTTTGAAGACTTTGTATAAGTGTGACCCCGAATTGAGGCCAACCCTATTCAAAAATATCGTTCTTACTGGGGGTAACTCGCAAATGCCGGGTTTCGCCCCACGTTTGGAAAAGGAACTCATTAAATCCCTCCCTTATTACAAAACTTTGCACAACGAACGCCCTAGAATCACAGTATCAGCACCTAATGTAGCCTGGATTGGTGGAACCAAGCTGGCCTCCCTTCCCACTTTTCTGGACACGTGTATGACCATGGCGGACTACGACGAGTACGGACCGACGCTAGTCAATACCAAATTTTTCTAATAAAATATACAAAGTTTTAATCCACTATGTACATGTTATTTTTTCTGCTATTTCATTAAAAGTTTTTGCAGACGGCGACTCCGGCAGTTCTTTGACGCACGCTTTCCCTAATAAAGCCCCCACTCGAGGGTCGATTGGCAGGACCCCCAGAAACGGCACTTCCGCCAAGTTTGCTAGAGCTTCGCCCCCACCTTTACTGAATATGTTTGTACATTCAGTGCACGAAGGACACACAAAGCCGCTCATATTTTCCACAATACCCAGAATCGGGATTTTCGTTCGTTTACAAAACGTGACTTCTTTGCGGACGTCTTCTATCGACACTTGTTGCGGGGTTGTCACCAAAATAGCGCCGTCACACTTCACCCCTTTCAAAGATTCCATAACACTGATGTGCTCATCGGACGTCCCTGCGTTTACAATGACAATCAATTTTGCTACCTAAAGCGCGACTTTACCTGGTGGCGTGTCTATTAAAAGATAGTCCAACTCCCCCCAGGACACATCCGTCAAAAACTGCTTCACCATGGCGGTTTTTTTCGGGCCGCGCCACACCACCGCGTCGTTGCGGCTATTCAACAAAAACCCGATCGACATAACCGCTAATTTTTGCTCCTGGTCCGTATAAACCGGCACCCATCTGAAAACGACAGTCATAACCTAGAAATTGGCGGACAATTTACAAACCCTTCGTCGGACTGGTGTACCCCTTTGTCTTCCAGTTGCAGTAAATAGGGGATGCTGGGGCCACATAAATCGATATCGAGCAGCCCCACCTACAAATTCGCTTTAGTTTGTAAATTTCGAAGAGAAACCTAACCTTAAAATTTTTTTCTTTCAAAGTCAGAGCCAACTGCGTGCTGACGGTCGACTTGCCGACGCCCCCTTTGCCCGAAAGGACCAAAATTACGTGCTTTACGTTCTCCAACATGTTCGAATTTGGATAAAATCACATTGGGACAAATTGCGGTTTTCGATGATTCGTATTTTTCGATCGGTTTAGGGTTTTTTGGGTCGTGAGGTTTGACATTTTCGGCGATGATTTATTAAAAAAGTCTTATTATGGAGTCACAGGTCATTAAAATTGCCTCAATTGATACGAATTTGATTATAATCTGATTTGTTTTTTTTTTAATCCAGTTTTTATTCAAAGTGTGTCTTATTTTCTGGTTGTTTTTGCGTTTGTAGTGGCAACGATTGACGTTTGTGCAATGTCAATATTTATGTTTTGTTTGGATTTGCGGTTCGATTTTTGTACAAAAAACACTCATTGGGCCCCCTTGTGACCCGAAGTAACATGTTTTGCAGCCAAAGAGCGCATTTCGTGCGAATACATGCGGTGGCGGTTTCAACTGTCATATCTGGTCACCATGGCAACCCTCATCGTGGTATACAAACAATCCAAGAGCACCAGTTTCTGCAGTCATGGTACTTTCCAACTCTACTATTTCCATAATTACCACCTTGTTGTAGATTCTCAGCAGGGTGAAGCCCGCAATCAGTGCTACCAATGACTCGGCAGCTTCAGTTGGGGACGCCGGCTCCGACAACGCCCCCAAGTTCGAAGACTACTTGAAAAAACGGGATTACACAGGAGCCATGACCCTCCTAGAGGTATCAGACGCCTTTGCCGTAACTTTGACCCATTTTGCTCTTCTAGTTCATGCAAATGCAAGAACCTGACATGAACATTGATTTATGGATGAGTTACTGCGCCTTCCATCAAGGCAACTACAAAAAAGCGCTATCAATCTATGAAATGCTAAAAAACAAACCTGAAGTGGACAACGTCGTCGTAAATTTAGCCTGTTGCTATTTTTATTTAGGGATGTATGAAGAATCAAAAGATTTGTTACAAAAAGCGCCCAATAGTGGTCTCAAAACCAGACTTAATTTTCATTTATCGCACAAATTGAGAGACGAGGGGGCTCTGATGGAGCACCACGAGCAACTGCAAGACGTGCTTGAAGACCAGCTGAGTTTGGCCGCGATTCATTATTTGAGGGCTCATTACCAAGAAGCGATCGACATTTATAAGAGATTGTTGCTCCAAAATCGAAATAATCTTGCGCTGAACGTCTACGTAGCTCTGTGTTACTATAAACTGGACTACTACGACGTGTCTCAGGAGGTTCTCACGCTTTATTTAAACCAGTATCCGGACTCGGTGATTGCTACTAATTTAAAAGTAATTTTATATAAATATAAAAAAAAAATGTAATTCAATTGACATAATTTCGACAGGCCTGCAACCACTTTCGACTGTACAAGGGTTCAGTCGCCGAAAACGAGCTCCGCTCCATCGTCGAACAAAGCGCCAACGTCGGTTTCGGCTATGACCTAGTTAAACACAATTTAGTCGTTTTTCGGGATGGTGAAGGCGCCATGCAAGTTTTCCCGTCTCTGGTGGACGTCATCCCCGAAGCTCGACTAAATCTGGTCATTCATTACCTGCGAAACGACGATATAAAGGAAGCTTACGATTTATTGCAAGATCTGCAACCAGCAGTACCCCAGGAGTACATTCTCAAGGGGGTCGTGAATGCCGCCTTAGGCCAAGAACTCAACTCTGTAATTATTTAAAAATCGTACTCTTGTTACACACTAATTTGGAATTCCAGCCTGATCATATTAAGACAGCTGAAGAATGCTTCCAACTGGTGGGAAGTTCGGCTAGTGAATGCGACACCATAGACGGGAGACAGTGCATGGCGGCATTTTTTTTCCTAGCGGGACAATTTGAAGAGGTCTTGGTGTATTTGTCGTCAATCAAGAGTTTTCTCCACTCAGGTACGTGGCGTCAGTTTCAAGCACTGTGGGTAAACGGCACATCGCCTGAAGTGTTATGCACACACACCAGTAAATGAATGTATTTAACGGTATTAAAACCGGATATTAGATAACCTTAATTACGCACAAATACAGCAAACCAATTAACATGATTAACTGTCATTGTTTTCCCGAGCATGCAGAAAATGATTAATTACACCACTTACCCATAATAACTGTTTTCCCCTTGACGCTACAATTTCAGACGACACCTTCAACTTCAACTTCGCTCAAGCGAAAACCGCGTCCAACCAGTTCAAGGAAGCCGAAGAAATTTTTCTTCTCATCCAGAACGCGAAGATCAAAGAGAGCCCGATTTACATCTCGAACCTGGCGCGCTGCTACGTCATGAACGGGAAGCCGGAGCTGGCCTGGGAGTTGTACTTGAAGATGGAGAGCAGCGCCGAGAGTTTCAATTTGTTGCTTTTAATCGCGAACGACTGCTACAAGATGGGGCAGTTCTGGTACGCGGCGAAGGCCTTCGACATGTTGGATCGGTTGGACCCCAATCCCGAGTTCTGGGAGGGCAAGCGGGGGGCCATCGCGGGGGTGTTCCAAGGGGTGGTGGCGCAGAAGTTCCCGGTGGACATGCTGGGGGATGTGCTGCAGCTGCTGAGGAGCAGCACGTCGACGCAGGCCGACCAGATGGCGAAGGTGATCAGGCAGTGGGTGAAGGAGACGAGGGTGGCGGGGTCGTAAATAAAGAGTGTTTGGAGGAGAGTGTTTTATTTGGGGGTTGAGACCTGTTTGTCCAGGGGGTGGTTGCAGGTAGGTACAGAGATGTAGCGTATTTCTCAGGATGTAAGTGATTCCGTTTACCGAACAGATGGAGTTAAGGTGCGTGATTTTTTAAAATTAAGACACATTTAGATTCAGATGTGAACGCCGCCCCTTTTCTCTGGACCAATGAAATGATTTATGTAGGTGGAGCTTGTGCGAGTAGGAGGAGCATCGGTAATATTGCTTTTTAAATCTGATTCTGACGTTTGGTTGCTTATTTAACACCAGATTAATAGGGTCTAGATACATACCTTGTTTACAATTTATCTATTTTTTTCACCAACAATTTAAGAAATTTATCTAAAATTTTAATAAGATAATGTTGTCATTAAGTGACAATATTACGAGTGATCATTAGAATCAAGAGGGGGGTGGGTGGGCGGGGCTATTACCTTCTTATAAGATTTTGTAAAAAAAAGCTGAATTTAGCTCCACCCACCTCTTTTTTCAATTTCACTAACTTATTTAACTTATTGTAAATGAGAATTGAATTCTGATTCGACAAGCGATACAATCTATTAAAATTTAAAAGAAAGTCAAAAGTGGCCCCGCCCACCCACCCCTATTCCGTTGTGATCACTCATTTTATTGGCTCCAAGACGTAAATTAGATTTTATAATGACAAATAATATGTAGAATCTAGGATTACATTTTTTTTTAGATAAAATTTTATTTTTTTACTAAATTTTACTTTTCATTCGAGAGACGACTTTGCCGCCAGTGTTTACATTGACATAATTAAAAATCATGAAGTAGACCCATTCAGGTAAAGTTGTATACGCCGCCCCTTTTCCGTCCACCAATGAAATGATTTATGTAGGTGGAGCTTGTGTGAGTGGGAGGCCCATTGGTAATATCCCTTTTAAATCTCATTCTCACGTCTAATGTGATGATTTAATATCAGCATAATATTTTCTCGTCAACGATTTAAGAGATTTTTTTTAGAGTGGTCGTTGGACTAAAGAGAGGGCGGGTGGGCGGGGCTATCGCCTTCTTATAAGACTTTGTAAAAAAAAGGCAAACTTAACTCCACCCACATCCCTTCTTTATTTCACTAACTTACTTTACTTACTGTAAAATGAGAATTGAATTCTGATTTGACGAGCGGTACAATTTAATGAGATTTGAGAGAAAGTCAAAAGTGGCCCCGCCCACCCACCCTTAGTCCGTTATGATCACTCATTTTATTGATTCGAAGATGGAAATTGGATATTATATTGACAAACAATGGAATCTAGAATTACATGTTTTTTATATAAAATTTTATTTTTTACTAGATTTTAATTTTAATTGGAAAAACGACTGCCGTCAGAGTTTACACTTCAATAATAGAAAAGTAATGTAAAATGAACTTTGTGAGGTACATTTATAAACCCCTCCCCTTTTCTCTGGACCAATGAAATGATTTATTGAGGTGGAGCTTCACCAAGTGGGAGGAGCATCGGTAATACTGCTTTTTATAACTGATTGTCACGTCTGGTATGCGTAATTCAGACCAGTTTAATTCGTTTTATATCTCTTTTTTTAACAATCTATATATTTTCTCACCAACAGTTTAATAAATTTGCTTAAGATTGTAATAACAAAATAATGTAATTAATTAACAATATCGAGTGATCGTTAGAAGCAAGAGGGGGTGGGTGGGCGGGTTGTTGCTTAGTTATAGGACTAGAAAAAAGTAAACCAAGTTCCACCCACCTCTTTTTCCATTTCACTGGCTCATTTTATTTACTATAAAATAGGAATTGAATTCTAATTTGACAAGATCTAAAACAAAGTCAAAAGTGCCTCCGCCCACCCACCCCTATTGCGTTGGGACTCATTTTATTTGTTCGAAGACGGAAGTTGGAAGAATCTAGAATTACACTTTTTTTTATAAAATTTATTTTTTTACTAGATTTTAATTTTCATTCGAAAAACGAGTGCCTTCAGAGTTTACACTTAAATAATAGAAAAGTAATGTGAGTTAACATTGTGAGGTACATTCGTAAACTCCGCCTTTTTTCTCCGGACCAATGAAATGATTTATTAAGGTGGAGCTTGTCCAAGTGGGAGGAGCATCGATAATATTGCTTTTTAAATCTGATTCTGAAGTCTGGTATGCTTATTTAACACCAGATTAATGGGCTCTAGATACATACTTTGTTTACAATTTATCTATTTATTTCACCAACAATTTAAGAAATTTGTCTGAAATACTTATAAGATAATGTTGCCATTAAATGACAATATTAAAAGTGGTCACTAAAATAAAGAGGGGGTGGGTGGGCGGGGCTATTGCCTTCTTTTTAGACTTTGTTAAAAAAAACTAAACTTAGCCCCACCCATTTCTTTTTTCAATTCCACTGATGTACTTAACTTATTGTAAATGAGATGTAATTCTGATTTGACAAGCGATACAATCTATTAAAATTTAAAAGAAAGTCAAAAGTGACGTAAATTAGATTTTATAATGACAAATAATAGAATCCAGGATTACATTTTTTTTTATATCAATTTTATTTTTTACTAAATTTTACTTTTCATTCGAGAGACGACTTTGCCGCCTGTATTTACATTGACATAATGAAAAATCATGAAGTAGACCCATTCAGGTAAAGTTGTATACGCCGCCCCTTTTCCGTGGACCAATGAAATGATTTATGCCCATTGGTAATATCCCTTTTAAATCTCATTCTCATGTCTAATATGATGATTTAATATCAGCATAATATTTTATCGCCAACGATTTAAGAGATTCTTTTTAGAGTGGTCGTTGGACTAAAGAGAGGGCGAGTGGGCGGGGCTATCGCCTTCTTATAAGACTTTGTAAAAAAACGGCAAACTTAGCTCCACCCACATCTCTTCTTTATTTCACTAACTTACTTTACTTACTGTAAAATGAGAATTGAATTCTGATTTGACGAGCGGTACAATCTATTCAGATTTGAGAGAAAGTCAAAAGTGGCCCCGCTCACCCACTCCTAATAAGTGGGAGGAGCATCGATAATATTGCTATTTAAAACTGATTCTCACATCTGGTATGCGTATTTAGCACCAGCTTAATTCTTTTTGTATATCTTTTTTAACAATTCGTCTATTTTCTCACCTACAGTTAATCAAATTTGCTTAAGATTGTAATAAGAAAATAATTCTATTATTAATTAACAATATTAAGAGTGATCACTAGAATCAACACAGGGTGGGTGGGCGGGTTTATTGCTTGTTGATAAGACTGTACAAACAACTAAATTTAGCTCCACCCATCTCTTTTTCTATTTCACTGGCTTAATTTATTTATATTTAATTGGGAATTGAATTTTAATTTGACAAGATTTAAAACAAAGCAAAAAGTGGCCCCGCCCACCCACCCCTTATCCATTGTGATAACTCATTTTACTGGTTCGAAGACGGGAGTTGGATTTTATATTGAGAAATAACAGAATCTAGAATCACATTTTTTTAATAAAATTTTATTTTTTACTAGATTTTAATTTTTATTCGAAAAACGACTGCCGTCAGAGTTTACACTTAAATAATAGAAAAGTAATGTAAAGTTAACTTTGTGAAGTGCATTTATAAATCCCGCCCCTCTTCTCTGGACCAATGAAATGATTTATTAAGGTGGAGCTTCACCAAGTGGGAGGAGCATCGGTCATACTGCTTTTTAAAACTGATTCTCACGTCTGGGTATGCGTATTTAACCCTAGCTTAATTCTTTCTATATCCCTTTTTTAACAATCTGTCTATTTTCTCACCAACGGTTTAAGAAATTGGCTTAAGATTGCAATAAAAAATAATGTTATTAATTAACAATATTAAGAGTGATGATTACAATCAAGACAGGGTGGGTGGGCGGGGTTATTGCTTGTTGATAAAACCGTAGAAACAACTAAATTTAGCTCCACCCATCTCTTTTTCCATTTCACTGGCGTAATTTATTTACATTTAATTGGGAATTGAATTTTAATTTGACAAGATTTAAAACAAAGTAAAAAGTGGCCCCGCCCACCCACCCCTATTCCGTTTTGATCACTCATTTTATTGGTTCGAAGACGGAAATTGGATTTTATATTGACAAATAATAGTTGGAATGTAGAATTACATAAAATTTTATTTTTTACTAGATTTTAATTTTTATTCAAAAAACGACTACCGTCAGAGTTTACAGTTAAATAGTAAAAAGTAATGTAAAGTTAACATTGTGAGGTACATTACTAAACCCTGCTTCTTTTCTCCGGACAAATGATTCAAAATGTCAAAAGTGCCAAAATCCGTCTTATCTTAACAAATACTAGCCCCGCCCTCCCACCCACTACTTTCTTACAAAATATCTCATTTGCCAAAATCAATCTAATCTTAGCAAATACTAGCCCCGCCCACCCACCCTCTTCTTATTCTAGCGACTAATTTTATTTCTGTTCAGTTTAAGACCATTCATTTTATTCACATCGAATAAAATCAATCTCTGAAAAGGAGGCAGGGTGGGTGGGCGGGGCTAATCATGTCCTTCTGTCGAGAGGTAGTGGAAACTAATAGACTCTTGGATGTGAAAAAAAAAAAAAAATAGCCAAACATAATTTTTACTTCCCGAGCGTAAGCAAAGGAAGTATTGTAATCGAGTCCGTCGGCCGACTCTCTACTTTTACGTTTTCTCGATCTTTCATGACCCCTAGAAGACGAAGAAATAGGTCTCCCATTTCCGTCTGTCTGTCCGTCTGTCCGTCTGTCCGTCTGTCCGTCTGTCCGTCTGTCCGTCCGTCTGTCCGTCTGTCCGTCTGTCCGTCCGTCTGTCCGTCTGTCCGTCTGTCCGTCTGTTGTCCCGGATTTTTATTAGACAGATAATCTCCGAAAGTACTCGACCGATTGTTATGAAATTTTGTACTTATATTAAGAATATCATGTAGATGGTAAAACGCTAACCAAAATTTGTCTAATCATCCCCACCACTAATGC